GACTAAAAGTAGAATTAATGACGTCAAAAAAAAGTCAAGTCTGACATCACAACAATTCATTTAGGTGTTATTGTAGTCGAGAGTGCATGAAACAGCTGATTGGGGCGTCATCAGCGCATTAAATTACTATTACAGTTACCAACCAGCAGGGGGCGACTCCTCTGGTTGTAAAAAGATGTCTGACCTTTGAGAAAATGACCCTACTTCTCACTTGATTTAAGACTTTTTAAATGCAGCATAGTTTGTAAATTATGGCCCCATTTAGAGTGTAATAGACGATTTAACTTATGGATGTTTTAGGGCAGTGCGATTTTGTGAGTTGCTAGCTTGTCGCTGTGTCCTCGAGTTCTCAGTCACAGCCACCTTTGACTCGACAAATTGGGTTTCAAACGAGCAAGATGGCGACTTAAGGCGTCATAACACAAACCAATGGGTGACGCCATGGTGGCGATGTTTGTCTTTACAGTCTGTGCTAAAAAAAAAAAAAAAAATCTAGAAATCCTTTACTGGATGCTGTTATATATAATCTAGAAGTGTTAATATTTGCTTACTATTTTGTGTTTTGGTATTTAAGACATGTCTAAAGAACGCATAATCATCGACTATAATCACCGATAAACAGGAAACAGCCTTGATAACGTTGGTGAACTCTTGCAGTTGTGTGAATAAGTAAAATCTCTGCTAGAATCATCGCACTAGGAGACCACAAACTAGAGCTTTGTATCGTAGCGACAGGTTGTATTTCAGCTAAAACCCTTTTTCTAAACATAATCAGGAATATTTGGTGACTAAATTTAACCAAACATCAACCCAAAATGAAGGCAAAACAAGAATTAAGGTAACAGCAGCTCCAGTCTCCTGGGTGAAAATCTGTTGATTCATGCCTCCAGATGTCGACTTTTCTTCATCCTTGCAAGCGAAAAGTCATAAAAAGAGGTAATAATGCACCTTCTGAGCCTACTGGAAGGTGGAGGGACTGATCCCCGACATAACAGCGATTTATTAGCCTGATAACATCCAGAACGAGTAATCAGATTAGAAAGTATAATACAGTCTGAATGTAAGCTTGACCAATTAAAAGAAAAAAAAAATGCTGGTAACCAAATAAATAATGTTGTTTTTAATCCAGACTTGTTGATCCTGTAGTTCTCTGATCAGCCTGACTTCCTGTTTAATTGATTTTCATGAATGTTTTCCACACTAATAACCTTTTTCTTTTTTTATTTCTTTTTAAATTCCAGTCAGCTGCTTGATGCCATTCTCCACAGCTACGAATTAACTGCACCTGACAGTAAACGTGAGGGTCTCCCGGCCTACCAAAGAGCCTTCTGATCGCTATCCTTCATCTGTTCATCTGTCGACTGGCGTGGCGACCAACCGAGCGGCATCCATCCGGTCGAACCGAGCAGCCGTTCATTCAGTCTCCAGTCTATAGACTGTAGGCCAAATGCTAATCTCTTGATTGAACACTTGAAGACAAAGGTTATCACCGAACAAATTTAGTTACGGCGGCAAGGGGCGAAGGATCTTAGCAGCGCTCGCAACTGATCTAATCAACAACACAGCTAAGTTGATTATGAAGCTGCAGGTCTGGAGCGCAGACGACGGCTGGGGAGGAGCAGAACGGTGGAGATGAGAGGAGGAAGGAAGTTGAACAAAGATGGTATGAAAGCAGAGCAGGGCGGAACAAACGAGGAGACTACAGGGCAGGAGAGGACGGAGGAGGAACGTGACGGCGTTAGGATGGAGGAGCAGAGCGGGGAGCTGGGAAGAACAAAGCCGACCACGGCAACGGAGAACAGGGGAATTGTATTCTGGGGCAACAGCCGCTGCCATGAACTCCGGCGTTATCTCAAAGCGGTGAAACAAATGCAAAGCTTCAGAGAGGAGTGAATAACATACACGGGGCTGAAACGACATCTAAAAAGAGCGCACTGGAACGGACAACAAAGCCACGCCGCCTCAGTGCAGGATTCAGTTAAGCTGAAAAAAAAAAAGATCCTTTACAAGCAGCGCGATCCGTAAAGGTGAGCATGTGTAGGCTCCTGTCTTCTCCTGCCAGCGGGAACTCGAGCGGCACTATTTCTGGGTAAATGTGTAATCAGCAGCGAAACTGTGGGAGAAAGCAGGAAGAGAGCGTCTGACAAAAGGGACGACGTGTTTCGGTTTGTCTGCAGCTGCTTTCCTGATGAGTTGGGAACAGAGTTTCACCGGCACATAAACATACCTGCACATACACACACACACACACACACACACACACACATCTGGCCTTCCTTCCCTTCGCAGCCTCTTTAGCACAATAACAACACTCACATCCAGACACGGCGAGTGGCAGAGGGGTGAAGCTGCCCCCGAATACGGTGCCGATGCGCTGAGCTCCGGAGCGCAGCACGACAGGGGATAGCGCTCGCCGACTGAAACGCCATTGGGACCAATTAGGCAGCGCGCAGAGCAGAGCGCAGCCCAACGCTACGCTTCACAACCAGTTCAAAAGGCCTGCTGCTGAGACGGACAGCTGAGGGGGTGGGGTTGGGTTTTTTTCTGAGTTAGGGGCATGCGAACGGGGTGTTTGTGTGCGTAGGGTATTATTACATTGGGGGAGGATGATCACAGTATGCAGGGGATGCAGCCGGGTGTTTGTGTGTGTGTGTGTGTGTGTGTGCATCTGCTGCATCCATGATTGTGCTGATCAGCGCCGGCGTCGATGCTACAACACCTGAACCTGTAAAGTTGCTGCGTGCAGCTTTTTGCCGTCCATAAATCATTGCCACATTAATTTGGATGCATTAGTGTAATTGTAAATAAATAGCCGTGAACAAACGAGACCACCGCTGAGAGACGCGGCCTCAGAACCGTACAGGGTTTTAACGGAGCTGGTGTTCATGGGATGTGGGGCTGCAGGGCAAAAACTGAACGTTGTACCTACAGCACACAGCGATGTACAGTCATGACTCGATAATCCGACCCTTAACAATCCTAAACCTGCTATCCGACAGGTTTTTAGGAAAAACCAACAGAACCCATAAAAACAGCCTTAACATAGCGACAGCCTTGGATTGTGACTCCGACATGACATTTAATGTCACCAATCAGGATGACGGCGTATTATCT